GAGCTACTGAACACTACTACGATATCTTTGTTTCCTGGAAGCAATCTCGTAGATTTGGCACACATGCGCTGCAAACACTACTATAAAATACTTAACAAAAGCCCCACAGTAGAACCAACTGGCATCAAAACCTGGAAAGTCAATTTTGCCGATACTCATAAAGAATGGAAAAACAAATTTTCTTTTGTATATCAATCAACGAGAGACAACAAGTTAAGACAGTTTTCATTTAGATTATTGCATAGAATTATAGTAACCAAAAAAGAACTGCACAAATTTCGATTAACTGATGATTCAACTTGTACCTTTTGCCCTAATTCAGATTCAATAGAGCATACTTTTCTGGATTGCTCCGAGACAAAATCTTTTTATTATGAAGTGTTAAGGTGGTTTAACCGCGTAAACAAGATGGAAATTGAACTTTCTAACGAGCAAATTACCTTTAATGAAATACCCGACTTTCATCAATTATCAGAATACCTAAGACACAGACTACACTTATTTGTTATTCTTTTGAAACAGTATGTCCACAGTTGTGTCTTGAGAAAAAACCGACTTCGAAAGAATTCCAAAATAAAATGTTGAGAAAATTAATGTGCTCTTCACTAATTCTGCTTCTCCCCTTCCAAAAATCAATACTTTAAAAAGGAGTTAGGAGTTAGGAGACTCGAAGCGATATATCTATAGCTGAACGTAAGCTCTACTGTAATAATGTAGATTGTAAGTAACTCATAGGTGCCTTTTGATTGATATTTTGTAATTTTTTATTTTTTTTTTGTCCTTTATTCTTTTTTACTTATTTTTTCTTTTCCTTTATTCCTCTATTCTGTACTGTACTGTATTGTTTTTTCTTCTTAGCTGTATCACGTTTTTTGTATTAGCCAATGTAATGTAAATTGTATATGTATGTGTGTGCATTACACAAAAACAACAAAAAAAAATGTTCCATCCCTATACTTCCTTCCTCTCATACACTAAATAAAATCAAATAGCGTCTTCCAACATCAAATCATCAAATCCCACCTCCTTAACATGAAGAAGCCCTTCTAGCTGGTGTTTTAATCTGTTGCACTCATCTGTAAGTAGGCCACAATTTTCATCTGAAACCTCTAGCTTTTCCTTTACATTACTGAGTTCGTCTTCCATCTGTAAAAAAATTACAACAAAAATGTTTTTGATCACTGAGTGCCTATTGCACTATGCAGACCAGTGGACATCTGCTGTAGTAATCTGCATTTTTGCACACTTGCTTTCTTAAAAATATATACAAAGTGAACAGCTGGTGACAGCAATGGGAATTATAATGCAATTTTATCACACAATCCAAAACCTTCTGCAATACAGTCTATCTAAAACAAATCCATATTCAGTGGATACATGTACCTCTATCCCTAGGGTGTCTTCTAGGACATGTCAATGCTTGTACGTATAAAAGTTTAACATAGTTTAAGTAAAGCTCAGATCACTTTAGTCGTCAAACAGATCAAGTTACTGTAATACATAAAAATATTCACACAGGTTGAAAATCTAAGATTTACCTCTTCTAATTCTGCCATCTTTTTGGTCATTTCTGCATTCTTCTTCTGAAGCATGGTGCACTTGGCAGCAAATCGTTCTCTTTCATGTTCCTAATATAAAATAACATTTTAGTAACTTTCTTAAGGATATAAAAGGGATTAATCAGAGACATTTTACAACTGTGTACACAGAATACAGAAATTAATAGTCTCAAGTAAAGAGAGAGTTTGGCTGAATCTTTAGAATAGTGGACTCAATTAATTTTCAGTTGAACACCCTCCACCTGTACATTCGTGTCAGAGGTAAAGACAGTTCAAAACAAAGGTTGCATCAGAGAATTTTGAGCACCATGTGTTGATGCCTTTCAGTACTGCATTTGTCCCAAGCACACTCTTTCCCCTTCTAAGCCTGTATTCCCCTCGAGGTCATAACTAAAGGCAAAGACAGCAGTCATGTACATTAACCCAGCAGTAATTTCAGCAGTGGTGGCAGCGAGTTTGTGAATTTCATTTCAAGTGCTCATTAAGATCATAAAAAATATAATAATAATAATAATAATTAAAAAAACAATTTTGCATGAACAATACAATCTGGTTCAAGAACAAGATCTTTAAATTTAAAAAAATAGTCTTTCAAAAGGGATAATTGCAGCAGAGTTTTAAGCATCAATTTTTTTGGATCTAGAAGAATTCAATTACAAAAACCTTTCACTTCAACAAAAGATACCATCATTGCCATAAGTGACATAAGCATCCATTAACCATGATAATGGAAGCTTATGCCAGTACACCAGCGTATAAGAAAATATGATATAAAAACTTAAAACAAAATCATAAAATAAATTTGTAGCTGCATAATATAACTACTACAATGTTTTCTCCTTGAATTTCTGCATTTACATCTCAAGCAGATGGAAGTATTATTAATGACTGGAAAGCATCACTGAGATCTCAGTCCACATTAATATTAAAATAGTATTACTAAATTAATCCTTTACAAAATTTACATTGACAGATCAACAAGTTTACAACCTATCAATTTGTGTTCTCTTGTCATAACTCCTTTTAAAGATGTCACTTAATCCAAATAAAGCTAATGTTAAGATTTCCGTCTCATAAGAACCTTCACCAAGGTAACATCATACAGTGGGATCAGATGTAATTCATTCTTTAATGAAGAACTAATGTTTACACAGACCTGCTGGCATGGAGTTTTGTCTTGCCTTAATTAATGGCAGCTTAAAATAATTAAAACTCTAACTAGTTAGTGCTTTAGTGTGGAAAGCAAAGTTATATCAGACTTGACGTACTGCTGTTCTCGCATACTTTACTAAATACAATAGCAAAATAAAGAGAATTTGTATCATTTAAAACTAGTGGTTAAAAATGTTGCAGTGCTGTGGCTTTCCAATAAAAAAACATTTATCCATGTTGCAAAGAACAGAGGCAATTTGAACATTGCTGCCTGGAATTTCCAAGCCATTTCTCAGACTCTGATAGCATGAACCCTATATTTTGCTAATTGCTGGCAACACTAACAAGGTGCCTCAGGATGCAATAGACAGTTACATGTATTGCAACTTACATATTAACCCTTGAATGGCCAATTAAAACAGCCATGCAAAAATTCAAAATCCAATGCATTAGGAGAAACAAAATAATTTACCAGTTTGGAACATTTTGTCTGTTTTTCCTCCAAGTCACTCACAAGTTTATGGTTTTCCTTCTCTTTCTCCTTCAGTTCCTCTGCCTGCAAAAATAGCATTCTTTATTATATCCAAACATCCCAGCACCAAGGTAAACCTTCCCATGTATATTCAACGTTTACATGTACCAACAGGAAGAGCTCCCCCTGACAAATACATAATTAATAAGCCAAAACCCACCAGCAAACTGGTAAATACCGAAACAAAAACTTAACAGGAAAAGTCTGCATCCTACAATTGACAAAATCTAACACCTGCAGAGGTACAACAGTAACTATCTTTATCAGCAGAGAACACAATGCCCAGTTTGGCCACTGTTGCAATCCATATGAGATTAGAGGTATGATTAGTCAATGTAAGCAACATAATGCTGCAACAAATTTATTCACCACAAGAAAAAATACCACAAAACCCATTCAAGATCTCCCTGGTGATGGCAGATCAAAGCATTCTGACCCACACACTATTTCAGGGTATAAAATTACTGCCATGCATAAACAATGGTTAATATCAGTAGCTAATATCTCTAAAATAATTTTATGGTCTTCCTTCTCCAAAATGATTAATTATAAATCAAATTAATTCATTCACTCATACATAATTACATGGTACATTATCCCATTGAGAAGGGCTGTACATAGACAGATATTGTCAGTATTAGCATACCTCCCACATACATGTACACAAGTGTACTACACAATATCAATTTCAATCTATTCATTTAAAATCAAAGAGAATGCATCCTCCATGTTCCACCAGATCAGAAGGAAAGGGAGATTCACATGGATATTACAAAACTGTAAGGATCCAATCATCCAATAAAGCTATTTATATTTATTTAATTTATCACCATCATTTACCTATAAGTATCAACAAATTTGCTGCAATTATCATCAACTGAGTCATATCAGTTGTGTTATCAATTTTGTGCCTACTTGCAACATAAAATGGAAAAAGAAATTCAAGATTGTCTTAAACAGAAAAAGTTTAAGACAATGCAAAATTCATTTACTAACAGGCAATTGTAAAACATGATAACTACATAAATCTCTGTTCTGATCTGAAATTTACAGTAGATCACAATTTGATTAATGTCGGTAATTGCTTTGCAGAAACTAGACCAAGAAAGGTCACACACCCTACTAGATAACTTTAGAAATGAAGCAGGAATTGTAATTCATTTTGCCAACACATTTTATTTAACTTTCCACATTCATTCTCACATTGAAACTAAGTTTAGAGCAAAAACTCCTAACATACATCCAAAAAAGGGGAATTTTTCAAAGGGAGCAAACTAGATAAGTGAGCTGCACCGAACAGTCCCACACATACAGATGGAAATTATTTTACATTAATTATATAAAACCTGAATTCCTTAACCTACCAATTTCAAGCTTTCAGCCTCTGCTTTTTGCAGTTGTACCACTGAGGATTTCAAATTATTGTTCTCATCTTCCAACCTGCAAAGTATTTCAGTCTTCTTCTTGATTTCAGAAGCAAGATCACCTGTCAGTAGTTGAGGGCTAGGTTCACGAGAAGAATCCCCATTTGAAAGTTGTCTCTCAAGCCACAACCTCTCCTTGGCTGACTGACGGATTATGGATTGAAGCTCTTCTACTTTTTCTTGCTGAAAAAAAAAAAAAATGTAAAGAGATAACAGTCACAATTAGACTTAGTTTTTACCAGGAGGAGTTTTTGGTGTCTCTACTGATGGAAGTGGTTTACAAAAGTAAAGATCCAGGATCAAAAAATGCATGTCGGGAAGAAAGTGAATAAAAATATACAAGACCAAATGAGAAAAGCTCTCTTAAAATTAATGTACTGCAAATGCTGATTGTTCCCACTTTCTATCCTCCCAAATGGTTCTGATTAAACAAATCACAGCTTAATCCATTGCAAGCCAATGATACCAAATGACAAACCAACCCCAAACTATTGACACATTCAAGATAATATAGCAGCATCACAATTGAATGTAACACTGAAACGAAATTTAAAACAACACTTTTTAGACAGACAGACTTACTGGGATTAGAGGGATTAAAATGTTTTCTATTCAAGAGCAAAATAATGACAAGATAATTCTCAAACAAGATCAAATGATGAATGCCACCTGAAATAGGCTATTCATTCACCATCCAATATTATGGAGTCAGTACAAGTAACCATTACTATTGCAAGAAGCATAAACAGCCTTAGATGTAGGTTACAGAATGGAGTAGAGTTAACAGTTTTAATTATAATTTATTCTCCAAGTCTGTGACCATCTGTATGGACTTACTATTGTTCAGGGCCCAGTTGTTGAAGAGGCCCATAAAGCCATCAGTTCTATTAGATATAGCCATAGTCAGCTGATAGGTTTCAACAAAACCTACTGCCCTATTAACTAGATAGAGATTTATCCATGTGATAGCATTATCCTTCCTTTGAACAACCAGGGCCAGAACAATGAGAAAGATATAAATTACTGAATTGAGCAACTCTTTAAATAGCATTCAGAGACATACAAGTAAATGTAATTCTCTGCTTCTGAGGCAAAAATGCAATGCTTTATAAGAACCGTGCCAAATTATGAAATACTTAGGACATCTCAACCAAATATAAGTAGAAATTATAACCCTGTAGCTCAAATGACAGTTACCAGTAAGATAAAACAAAATGGTTTTCATAAAGATAAGCTCGTGTTTCACTTCTGCAGAAAATAACAATTTCCTATATTGGCAACACCACAAATTATGTCTGATGCATGGATGTAAATATTTCTAGATCCCTCGTTCATGAATAGTCAAACATTTTTTAGAAAATAATACTGAGAAATGTTTGTTATTAAGCCAGTGATGCTACTAGGATTTGACAGCTTAGGGCTTGAATTTAGAGAAGTAAACCATAAGCAACTTTTAGCCTCTAATTATCCTTATTGTATTAAAGTTCAATTAATATAAGGTACGTGGTCCTTTTGTTTAAAGATATACATCAATAACCTAACTTTCCCACCAGTATTAAAATCTTGTCATATTAGCAACAGAAGGAATGAACATTGAAATCACAACTAGCTGTGGTTTGAACCTCAAAATTGAGTCAAATGTTTTTTTTTTTGCTGCTTTCACAACAAATTCATCATGGTTTTAAGAGACATTTCTGATAGAACTCTTGTGTGAAAACATGTAACCACCAATAATTCTCTATCATTAGAAACGATACTGACAAATACCATACAACAACAAATGCCTTTGATGGAGAAGTTCATACCATAATGTGCAGCTGAACTTTAGAGTACCTTCAAGTTCTCTTTGTTGCCTTAATGTGAAATTTGTTGCAAGAACACACATCCCACATAAGCATTTCTATAACTTGTTATTAAAATATTTTAAATAGTTGTGAACTTCTGGAAGCTCTACATATATTTTCCATCACAAAACAGGAAAACCATGTTTCCTTTTATTCTACAGTGTAGTACCTCTTTACTGGCCTTGGACAAAACAAGATTGCCTTCCCTTGCCCTCAGGCGATGCTTTAACATGACTGTTTTCCAATTCAAATGATCAAATTTAGCATGCCTTAAAAATTGTGACTCAAACCACAAGACTGCATTCTTTGTATATTAAAAAAATAGCACTTTGAGCAATATAGACCCTCTCGCTACAAATGTAAATCAGAGTTCTTATAAAGCCTGCTATAACCAAGGAAAAAGACCCTTGAAAATCAAGAAACAGTGTAATCTCAGACATGAGAGCAAAGTACCACTTGATTATATCTGCATCATGTTTAAAATTCCAGAATAGAGAAATATGGTGATATCTTACTAATATTCAAGAGAGTTTTATATTGTTCTGGAATGAAATTTGAGTGGGAAATACAATATCATGTAAAATAAACATGGTGTACCATTGTTTTCAATCAGTGAAGATTTTGTGACCAATTTTCAGCACATACTGTAATTAGGACTATCCTAATGGTTAATCATTTTATTTACTAAACAGTAGTTACACCAGTCTCCTGCTTAATATCCAAATGATGGTTAATCATTTTATTTACTAAACAGTAGTTACACGAGTCTCCCGCTTAATATCCAAATGATGGTTTTACAAAGCATGATCCCGAGGCTAAGATGAGAGCCTAACACAATGTAGCAACTATACTTTAGCCAGCTCAAGTTTAGATACATGAACATGTCTAAATGTCCAAATACAAGAGGGTAAAAATTAATGTCAATTGAAAAAGATTTGAGAGAGCTCTCTCCCCAACTTCCTATTACAATCACCAAAAAACAATCAATTTTGGATCCTAATTAAGTTCAGACTAATGTCCTGTATTCAGGAATGACGAAAATATTCTAAAATACAGAACTTAAGCTTCAAACAGATTGATGCCTGGGTGTACTAATTTTACACATCTGGTTCCAGTCGTTCAAAGAGCGGATAATACTATACAACAAATAAATTGCTATCCACTGAATAAGTGTTAGGAATACAATTACTGCGCTATACAGCTGATCTTTCTTTGAAATCTGAGTGTGATCCTTATACCATTTCAGTCCAGGATGATGAATTCAAAATGTTAAAGACAATGAGATCCAGAATGGCATGCATGCACACCTTCACTTTTATCTATAAATTTTTAATTCACGACACATACCGGAAAATCTGGACCATTCTTTTGTGGTAATATCTCTTTTCTCAGTTCATCCAGCTCTTTTTCTTTAGACAATACTGCTTTGGCATGTTCAGCAAGATCCTTGGCTCTCTGTCTTGCATACATCTTTTTCACATGCTCCACACCAGCACTGTTAGAACTGTTCTCCTCCACCAATTTCTGAGAAATGTGAGATAAAGCAGCATTCAGTTTTGAGTAAAAAGTAATCTGAATTTGCTTTGGTTTAATTTACTTTATTATTAATACTCTTTCATTAGTCCACAGAAACCAATCCTGTAACATCATTTACAGTACGATCCTAATGCACAACCCACAAATACAATTTACATGCAGTATTATCAAAAATCAATGAGTTACTAATGTAAATTAGCCACTATGAAGAGTTTCCAAAGTGGAAATTCTAAGCGTTAGCCCTTTATCAAAGCGAAGGGCTAACACTTGAGGCCCCGCACTCATGCAGCTCCACATTTTCTTTAGAAAACTTACCTAGCTTATCCTGACAACACAGTTAAGTAACAAGTGACAAATGAAATAAGTACGAAAGAGAATTTTGAACTTCAGCCTAGACATACTTGGGCCTGAACTTTCTCTTCCTGAAGTTTCTTTGCCTTTTCCTCTAACTGTCGTGCAATGGACACAAGCTCAGAATTCCTTTTCTTAAGTTTCTTTATTTTTTCTTCTGCTACAAAAGTTGCTTTCAGGTTTCCACTCTTAGACATCTCTTTCTAAAAAAAAAAACAGTATTCATGAAGATTTCAAAAATAAATATCAGACACCAGTCTCAACAACTGCAACCCCTTTACTGGACACAAACAAATGAACCTTGCAGAGCAATAGAAGACCTGAAGGCACACTCTGTGTATGTGTAACTTAACCAAAGTACACCTTATTAATGGCATATAAACAAAATACACATTTCATAGTTAAAAAAAAATGTTACGTTCAGGAATCACTGCTTATAAAGTCCTACCAAAGATGTTTCAAATACAAATGAATAAAGGCTGATAGTTTCAAAGAAACTGTTTGGGGCTGCGTCGGTGGGAGTAACGAAATAATTTGGATATATCAACAAAGTTGAAATGGTAAATTGGCCACCGTAATGATTACAAAAGCTGACGTTTCGAGCGTTAGCCCTTCATCGGAGCGAAGGGCTAATGCTCAAAACGTCAGCTTTTGTAATCATTACCGTGGCCAATATACCATTTCAACTTTGTTGATATATCCAAATTGTTTCAAATATAGTTTTGATGTTCAGCTTTTCCGGACATCAATTGCCACGGGAAGCTAAATATAGTAACATCATATTAATGATATAGTCCCCCAAAAAGAGAAGAGTCCTTATCACACTCTTGTGCAAATTCTTTCAAATTCCTTTCAGATATATCTGTGAGAAGACAAGCAAACTTCCAAAACAAACAAACAAACAAACAAACATATTATACCCTTAAGGCATGGGTTGCACTTGGTATAATTTTTCTAAAATGTGTTAACTTTGCAGTAAAAATTTTTCATCAGGAGACATTTCTAAGTGTGACCCTGACTTTTTTAATTTTAAATTTTTCCAGTTAGTGAAAACATCAAAAGCATCATAGTGCTTGGGTAAGGAAGGCAGATTTTGAAAAATTTGAGTGAAACAATAGAAGTAACAGCTGCAGTAACTGTCAATGCTTGTTGGTGAAACTTTGTTGATTTGAAACAAGATCAATTTGAAAACACATGAGAACCTCTTGGATCTTAGTGCTTGCAATATAAATGGTTGTAAACTAATCTATAGTATCTCTAACAATTTGATATTTTTTTGCTTTCAAATTACTGGAAACTACCTGCATGCAGTAACTATCAAAACTTCAAACGTCATGATTGCAAAACCTTTCTTCTGAGCATGGAGTAAACATGCACTTTAGTTTCTGGTCTACTTGAATTCTCAATGTGTCAAAACACTGATAGTTACCTCTCACAAATGCCACCATACTATTTTGACAAAAAAGTTTTCCTTTCTGGTTGTGGTTATGCATTTCTGTGGTCTTTTCTCTCAGAAAAGAAGAAAACCTTAAGCCATTAAATATATCTATTAATATAATTATGTATTACATATATGTACATCAAGTTTAAGCCATATAAAGAAGAAGTTTGTGTAAACTAAAAACAATGTACAGGATTTCACATAAAGTATTATCTGCACCTTATTCCAAAGTCTAACAAAAGCTAAATGGAGACCTGAAGTTCCCCACAGTGAGGCTGAACTAAAAAACATCTGTGTATCACACATGCTTAAAATTATTGTCCTTCAGTAAAATACTACTATCAGACAAAAACATCTACTACACTGGTACCCCAAAACACTTGACATTCTCTGTCAAAACACTTGCTCTCTATAGTCAGACTTTATAAACAAACCCATCTTTGGTAACATACCAAAGCTTTCAAGTATAGACAAACAAACGTTAGCCTCCTATTTAGCCCCTGCACTATTCCCAGTTATTCAATATGCACATGACAATGAATTCAAACAAGTCTGATTTGTTTTTCTTTATATGAAGATAAAAGTAAAGTAACTAGAAAAGAGGGACAATACAATCCAAACTAAGTTGAAATCATTTTGACCTGAAATTCAAACTGAAACATGTAAGTTTAAGTAAAAAAAGAAAAACATGTAACTACATATACCTTGCTAATAGTTAGCTAGTTGGGAATTTCATTTAACACAATCAGTAAAATATTGTCACAAAGTAAAAATAACTAACCTCCAATACTGCACACTTTTTCTCTAGGCTTTCCACTTTTGATTGTAACTCAGCATTTTTCTTTTTTAATTCTCGTTCTTTATCTTTTCGCACAACGGGCTGTGGAAACAAAAGTTTCAATGTTACCTACAATTTTACCTCTTCTCCTGTTCAAAGGGTATAAGGTCTATATTTTTACCTTATTTTTAACTTCCTGCTTCCACTTAAAAAAACTATTTTGGGGTTTATAGTGAACCTTGATTTATGCCAAAGGAAGGAACAAATTGCCAAGAGACACTGATTTGATAAAGAAATTAGTGATTATTACAAAAATTGTTCAATGAACATAATAGAAAAAGTGTTGTACGTTGCAATTCATAGAGATATATGAGAAACAAAGAAAACAAAATGCATTAAAAAAAATACTCAAATGTATAACATTTTTTGAACAATATTCTCCAGATGAAAAAGTACAAAAACTTGAAAAGATACAAACCAAATGAAAATGGGATGGGAAAATGACCAAATGAAAGAATCAAGGCTCAATTTGTCAAATCATGTATAGTCATCGCTTCTCCAGAATTATGGCAAAAAAAAAAACAACAACAAAGATTATTGAGCTTTTGAGTCAATTGAGGGTCTGGAGTAACCCCTAACCCTGACAAAAAGAAGGTAAAAAAGGCAGGAGATATTAGAAGACCAAAAACAGAAGCCTTGAGAAGTGTATGACTCAAAATTAAGAGGGATATAGCAGAAATGATAATAGTTGACAAAAATATTTTAGGATAGCAGCCAATATAAATATCAGATAACACTTCAGCAATAGATAATAATCAAACATTGTTTGAAAGATTTGGAAAGGAAAATATTATTAGTTAAACTATCAGCAAAATAACAACGTGTACAGTTTTTATATGTATACTTGCCTAGACAGATTCATAAGACAATTGGATAAACCTAAGGGCTACTGTTTTTAAAGCTTTTTCCTGGCTGCTGGCACCACATGAAATCCATTTTCACTTACATTAGAAAGATCATGTTCCCCTGTTATGCAAAACTTCCCTACTTAGTTTTAAATTAAAACTGCAAAATTAGCCAAACGAGCAATACCTCTGGACAAAGCATAATCAAAAGGAGATACATTCTGGCCTTATTGGCAAAAAGTAAAGGTAAGGTAAAGTCTGTTTACGAGCCTAGTGGCCCATTAGGCCGGTGCTTAACTTCTGTTTCTGTAGCATGAAGCGACTAGGAGTATTTCTGCTCCTCCCTGGATGGGATGCCAGTCCATTGCAGGGTTACCCCCAGCAATAAATTTCCGGTACCAATTTATACACCTGGGTGAAGAGAGGCACTGTGAGAGTAAAGTGTCTTGCCTAAGAACACAACACAATGTCCTGGCCGGGGCACAAACCCGGACCACTCGATCCGGAGTCGAGCGCACTAACCATGAGGCCACGGTGCCTCCACATTGGCAAAAAGTAGATATAAAAAACATTCATCAAAAAAGCAAAACCAATCATCATAAATTTGTACCAAAAAAATGCAAGTGGAAAAGTATGCACCATAATGTATTGTGTATGAAAATAATGAAGACTACCAAATAAAAAACACTTGACTAAATGGAGATATACATGTCATTAAAAGCTGACAACAAAAGATATCGAGCCTAACCCCTCCATAATGTCACATTAGCCTTTAACTATTCCTTACAAAAATCATTTTGCAATAACATTCACCTCATCTGTACTTTTGCGTATTTTTTGCACATTTTGTACTGGTACCTTCAAGAGGCTGAAATAAACCGTTCATGAGGGGGAAACCTACTACTTACCGAGACAATGTAATGCTGAGGTGATGTACATGCAGAAAAACAAACAATATCCTTAGAAATAATATACTCAATTTTACGTATTGATGCACGATCCTCGCAGTAGAGAGCACTATTTATCTATAACCGCAGTTCAAAATATATGAACTTCATATAATTTTTTTTTTTTATTCATCGTATACTCAATTTTGGCAAATGCATGGAAACAATTTTTAATAAACAAACGCCTTGGAAACAAAAACTTTAAAAGTCATGTGCTAATAGGTGTTCTCATAAGTTTACCGGTTTGTTTCCTTAACTCATCTACGCTCATAAAAGCCTTGATCGGACGCCAATCGAATATCAATACCGCCATTACCCGGAATTATGTATCGATTTTTACAAGCGGAATTTCTACCAATAAATGAATATGAAATAGTTTATCAACCAGCATTTTGAAAAGAAAGATCCCTGTACCGTTTGAGACTTAAATTTCTAATGACGTGATTAAGAGAATAACAAGAGAGAACACCTTGTGTGTAATATAAGTTGTTATATCTTTTCAATCATCCACTTCTCTAATCCAATTTGAATGTTATATCAAGTTGTTCACGACATATCAACGGAAGTAAAACACCGTTTAAACCAACAAAGTATCACTGATTGTAAAAAAATAGACATAAACATGATTAGGAATCAAACTGAAGAAAAAGCAGGGCTTTGTACGTTGTTGTTATAAACAGAGACAAGTGGAACGTGTAGAAGGAAATCAATTTTCACTTAGGCGATAGAGAGCGGCAGGAAGCCATCCTAATTAGTTTAAATCCACAACAAACCTAACAAAAACTAAAAATAATTCAAGCGTTACTACATTTTTTTAGAAGAAAGGAAACAAATTTCCATGTATAATCGATACTTACACTTTCGTCCAAGCGATCGCTGGCACCTAAATCAAACGGAGCGCCTGTTCGAAGACTTGATCGCCGCACCATTTCGACATCTCCAGACAATTTTCTTTGAAGGTCGTCCTTCTCGGCTTCGAGTTTCTTTGCTAAATGATCCTTATAAGCCAATTCATGTTCCTTTTCTTCTAATGCCTTCTCGGTCAACCTCCTCTGTTGTAAACTATGGATCGATTCACGTTTCGAGTCTTTAACAAATTTTTGAAGTTCGAGTTCATGATCAGCTTTCAAGCGACGAATGAGTTCAGCTTTTTCGTTGTCCGCCGAACATTTGGCTCGATATATCTCCTCAGCCTTTTGCTTCTGTTCTTTAAGTGTAGCAATTTCGTTGCGTAATTTTCGCTCTACTTCAGAATGATCTTCTCCTTCTTTACTCCTATCGACTAAAACCCTTCTCAACTCTTCCTCGGCATGTCTATTTTTCTCCTTTTCATCAGTAATTTGTTGCCTCATAGTTTTAACTTCTTCCTCCTTAAATTTGAGTACTTGTCTAAGTTCGTTATCTTTCTCTTTGGCAGTGTTATCTCGAGCTTTCTTTAGCTCTGTCGCATGTTCAGTAAGTAGTCGTTTCGTCGCTAGTTCGATGGCTCTTTGCTTTTCTTTTTCAAATCCGTCCTGGATCCGCTTTAACTCTGCAGACTTATCACGCAAAACCTGACGAACCTTCGCGCGCTCTGCTTCCAAATCTGACTTTAGTTTGTTGTTATGCCTTCGTAAATCCTCCACGTTACTTTTTCGAGAAGACGGAGAATTTCCCAGATCCCTATCTGGGACCGGTATACTGGAGGATGGCATTTTGCGGCTTAACAATACCACAATCTGTTCATTTCAGTTACCTAAATAAATTGCGAGTTAAAACATCTCTTGTCGCCGCAGAGCGTTCCCGCTCGCGAATCCAGTTCATACTGCCGTGCATTTCTGTGGCAAATATATGCGTCTCATGCGATGAAGACTTTGCAACAATAGATCGACGACAACGCTTTGGAAGTTAACTTTAAACAAGCTTAACGAATACTAGTAATTATTATATTAAACGATTCTATAAAATTCCAAATCCATGTTGAGTGTTGTGAGTAAACTAACTTCACTCATGCGCAGTAGCCAAGTTGACCCTCGAGAGAACCCGCTTGTGCTATATTTGGAGAACATCGCCATATTTGGCTGTTCCCGGGGCGATCTAAAAATAAAGAGCAACGCAGAGCGAGAGAGCGAGAGGTTTATTCAATTGCTCATTCACACTCATCATTAAAGAACAGCACTTTCACATTGCTCATAGAATGTTCTACAATAATCAGAAGTCATTTGTCATGGAGACAAAAAGTTTGCTGAAGAATTTTTGAAGACACCCACGTTAGCGGATCTGAGCGAATGCACGATCTGACCAAGGAAACTGTATCTATTTACCAAGACATACTTGTAAGACAAAGACACCATACACGGAAATATTTTAAAACCTCACCAAAGAAAATTGAGAAATTACAATTTAATTCAAACAATAACAAATCGTTTCTCGCTCGAGTGCCCTTTCCCAAAACCACAAGCAAGACTGTAACAAAAGCAAAAGAGATTCTTAATTTATTAGCTAAGTCTTTCAAACTCAAGTGAGCTGACGCAGGCGTCGCTAAGCAACGGAGAACAATTTGTGTTCATGCTAAAAAAAAAAATCTCATTAGTGTAAAGGTGCCCATTTAGACTGCTGGTAATTTAACAGATGAACTCAGATCCCATGTCACTGTCTATTTTGAACTAATTTAAGAACAAGGAGTTAAAACTGACGTCCTTTACATTTCCGGAGTCTGCTTTGGATAACTGATAAAATTAAAATAAAAAAACATCTTCTATACTGGTGTTGAGTAGGAGGAATGTCCATAATGGCGATTTCTAAGACAATGGAACCTCTTGACTTCCTCACCACACGTACAAACAAAAGCTGCTTAGTACGGCGAAAAATCCAATTTTGTTTGAGTAGCTCGTCATCAAGAGGGGTAAGAGAAAAGAGAAAGCAACACAGTTAAATTAGTCAAAACTAAGAATAGAAATTAATAGCCACAGAAACAAACCTAATAAAAATTCTGGAAGTCCAAAAATAAATTAATCAAACAGGTTATCACGCACTTAGAACTGATTGCTGTTCAAAATCTCTCCACTTATCCAACGCAAATTGTCAAAACCTATTAAGGAGAATATGTTCGTGGAAATTTCCAACAAGGTTACAATAGCAATTAGCAGCCTTCGCTGATCTTTCTATTTTTCAGTATGATAATTGTTTCCGGTCGAGCCAAAATGGCTCGCATATGTTGCAAAAACAACATATATTCGCTTTGAGAGCGCCATCGATCAAATGCGGAGCTGTCAACCCAATACAGACTTCGACATCTTTGTATTCCGTTTACTAAACAAGATAAGATCTTTAATTCTTTCATGAAATTTGAACTTCTTTGACCTACAGATGAAGATCCTTAGCTGGTGAGCTGCAAGGATCATTGGTTTTATACACGATACCTTTTATTTCCACGCACTAGCGACAGGAAACAAGTGAACAGAGCGAGGACTGTTGAGAATCGAGTGAGAGCCGCCTGGTTGTTAGGGGTGCAAGACTGTGTTTTCAAGAATGATATATTCTTCCAAAATAGCGCCGACTACGTGCACAATTTTTTGACATTTTCGCCTACGCCGAGGTCTTCGTACAATTTTAATCATATTAAATTCACGTATATTGTGATCTTCGAAAATTGCAAATCGGAGAAAATTCAAAGTCCACGCAGTATTGCACAAGCACCGCCGGGAACAGCTGCCGAAGAGGAATTGCAAGTTTTCTAAGATGAACGTGCCTGATACAAAATGCGCCATTTCCTGGGTTAATCGTTCAGCCCTAAAGCGTTTCTTTCTTCCCTCTCGGCTTTGTCAAACCTTTTGTTATTAGCAAGTCTGTAACAAGATTAGCACTACGTACTGTCAGATTAACCTGAACTTAAACCGAGTTTAGTTTTCGTGTACATTAGGCGGCCCTTGCAACTGATAGTTAGCTGGTTTTTAAAACCAAGAGTGGTACTTGAACATCGAGAAAAACTATAGGAATATCTTCAAACATATCATCTAAATGCGATGATAAATCAGATAAATGGCTGGACGAATTTTGTCATTTTCTCCCTGTCAAAAAATTAACCCGTTTATCAAATAAACATAGCAAATTTCCATTTGGTGGCGGATTTTTATAAACAGGGTCCAAGGCCTCTCTTAATTGCTCTCTAAGAAGAGTAGTACAACAAATTTTAACTTAACTCCGCCGCAAGAAACCTAAAGAAAAAATCGGAGGAAAAACCCACTCTAACCTTTTTGCACATTTGAAATCAAACAGCAATGTTCTCCAAAATCTCCGAGAACAGCAGATGAAACAAAATTATCAGAAAAAGACTTCATATTTAATGATTCTGTACAAAAAAAGTTAAGGTACCCATCTGTTAAACGTCGGGCTGACGACCTTTCGCCTATTTATAGAACATCAATATTTCATACATTCGTAACCTGATTTAAGGGAATAAAAAAAAAACCAATGGGTCATCAATTAATGACAGGTAGTGAGTTTCTCTTAGAAAAATGGTCAATCTGACGTAAACAACAAAAAAAAGAGACTAATTTTTGCGATTTTGATCATGGATTGAAAAAAGATAAGAACAAGACATCCGGGACGAGTAATTCTTGTTATTCGGTGGTTTCGGTCACAGATCCTTTCCTAAATCAAGTCATGTAATAACTTCCCCACCTTTTTTTTGCCATCCACAGTGCCACGAAAGTGTAAAACCAAGATTAAGAATTCAAAAAAAATTGTCTCTCGCTTTAACCAAGGAGAAACGGAACTGAGTCGGGTAAAAGAAAGATAAGATCAAAAATCGTTCTTTCAAAGTATTCACCGCTATGATTCGACTGAAATACCACACGGACAGCGATTGACCCGCCCAGTCACTCATTGCTATCTTGTGCGCAATATCAGACATGCTGAAGAGAAATCAGTTGATGTTCTCTTGACATGCTTTGTTGACATTTTGAAACTAGCAATCTTGGAAAAAATCAATGGAAGATTTATACCACCCCTGCCTTATTCATTGATCTCGCAATGAAGCGGTTTGCTCTTCCAGTGCCCTTCTAAGTGCTTTGAAGAGGGTAATAAATTATCCCGCAATATGCTGTCCACGACCGTACATGTCCACCACACGAAGAACCGAGGAAACATTGCCTGAAAGAAGTGACACGCAACGCTTTTCCGTTGCGTCATCAGTATCACTATGGAAAAACAGGTCAATTAGGCCACGAAGACCTCACCAAAATAGATTCATACCCGAAACAAAAAAATGAAGCCTATGTGAACAGCTTTTAACCTTCGATATGCAGCTTGTTTCACATAATAGGCAACATCCATATTTTGGCAGATAAAATGATCATCTCAAATCCTTGAGCATCTTAGTTTGTTCTGTCGCGACAACTTCTCCGTGCAGCAGAAATCCATTGCAGTTAGGTCTTGAAATGTTAAACATGTTAGTTTAGTTGTAAAGTGAACAATAGCTGTTTCAATTATAATAATACGCGAAGACAAATATCTAGGTTTTACACAGTCTTTCCGCTTCGTTTTAGCTAAGCCAAGCGGGAGTTACACAGTGCGAAAGCGAGCAGAGCGTCCGCGTCCGCAAAGAGAGCAAATAGCGAGCGAATAGAAAACAAAAGCGAAAAAAAAAAAAAAACCGGCAAAATAGAATCTAAAACTTTATAGAGAAAAATTTTGTAGCATGGGGGGAGGGGGGAGGGGAGAAAGGGAAGAGTCTGCAGCTGAGCACTGACATTTTCTTTTCTAGATGTTCCAGGACTTTTTGAACAAAGCGAGATAATATGCTAGAGACGAAGGTAGACTGGGTCGGCTTATTGCAATCTGCGTAATTGAAGTCCCGGGACAGACGATGAAATTAACCCTTGCTTCCCCACCCCCCCTCTTCTCCGTCCTTACATTTTTTCCACGCTTTCGCCCCATTCTCTCACGCGGCTCTCATTTTTCCCGCTTAACTAAAAAGAAATGGACTGCTGAGCTAAGCTAAGCTAAGTTAAGCTAAGCTGGCATCAAGTTTATAAATTCATTTTGATGAAGCTCCCGGAGAATCAGGTGTATCCTCTTCTCTGCTGTCCAGAGCAAACGGAGGTATGGGAGTTTCAAACGAACTTCCGTCTGAGCGTTCGAAGCGATATTTACCCCTAAAAAGCAAAGATAAAGAGAAAAACAGCTACAGGACATCTCCAAAAGAAAATTGGGCTGTAATGACAGGTGAAGATCAAATTAAAAGCACTGTAAAATTATGGGAATTGAATGGATAATTTCTACATTATGGTATCCTAATTGCCGCGAGGATTGTATGAATAAAAACGAAGGAATAAATAGGTTAAAGAAAAAAATTAGAACGGGAAGAGAGCAGTTTTCAATTGAGTGATTGAAAGCAAAATAGGGTGTATTTGCTTTGCTTTACTTTCCTCAGTGGTTGATCTAGAAAACTCATACCATCTCGTATACCAGTATTATGGAAAAGTGACACCAATCACGACCAAGTTACTCGCTGTCCTCCCGCACTTCAGCCTATTTGCTCCACGAAATTGGTAGGCCCATGATATTAGGTGGCGAGTGAATTCGACCAGCAACACCAAATTGATACATTTTGACTCTTGACTCGCCGTTCGAGAAGAATGAGCCGACGAAAATACAAAGTAAATACTGAAGCGCGGGAAAACGCAAGGGAGCACATCGCGTTTGGTTTGAGTTTTGAATCTTATTGGTTGAGAAAGTAGCGCGGGTTTTTTTAACTAATCACAGCCAACGAAAATTCAAAGTAAAATATAATAAAAACTACTAAAGCGCGGGAAAACACTAGTGACCAAGTCGAGATTGGTTCAAGTTTTGAACATCATTGCTTGAGAAAGCGGCGCAGGTTTATTGGACCAATCACAACCAAAGAAAATTCAAAGTAAACACTGAAGCGCGGGAAAACACGAGTGATCAAGTCGAGATTGGTTTAAGATTTATATGTCATCGGTTAGGAAAGTGGCGTGGGTTTTTTAACCCAACCACAGCCAACAAAAATCCAAGGTAAATACTGAAGCGCGGGAAAACACGAGTGATCAAGTCGAGATTGGTTTAAGTTTTATATGTTATTGGTTAGGAAAGTGGGGTGGGTTTTTTAACCCAATCACAGCCAACAGAAATTCAAGGTAAATACTGAAGCGCGGGAAAACACGAGTGATCAAGTCGACATTGGTTTGAGTTTTATATGTTAATGGTTAGGAAAGTGGCGTGGGTTTTTTAACTCAGTCACGGCCAACAGAAATTCAAGGTAAAAACTGAAGTGCGGGAAAACACGAGTGACCAAGTGGAGATTGGTTTAAGTTTTATATGTTATTGGTTAGGAAAGTGGCGTGGGTTTTTTAACCCAATCACAGCCAACAGAAATTCAAGGTAAATACTGAAGCGCGGGAAAACACGAGTGACCAAGTCGAGATTGGTTTAAGTTTTATGTTATTGGTTAGGAAAGTGGCGTGGGTTTTTTAACTCAATCACAGCCAACAGAAATTCAAGGTAAATACTGAAGCACGGGAAAACACGAGTGATCAAGTCGAGATTGGTTTAGGTTTTGAATATCGTTGGTTGAGAAAGTGGCACGGGTTTTTTTTTTTTAATCAATCACAGCCAACGAAAATTCAAGGTAAATAATTAAGCGTGGGGAAACACAAGTGACGAGTCGAGATCGGTTTAAGCTTTTAATCTTATTATTATGAGGGCCACTAGTTACTCAGTTGAAGCACTGTCCCGTGTAACCCTCGTTAAATAAAGTTGATTGATTGATTGATTGATTGATTGATTGATTATTTGTTGAGAGAGTGGCGCGGGTTTTTTGGATCAATCACACGGCGAAGTGAAGCAAATCCAAAGTCATGGTGCATTAACACCGAACACTTAAGTAGAAATTGCTCTTACTATCCACAATCAATCAAAAAATTACTCAGTATCACTCAGCCAAAAGCCCCTTCCACTCACCACATATTTCCACTGGGTGCCTGTAGTGATATGTGACTGCTGTACTGGAAAGCCGGTTGTTGCGGCGAAAGAATAGGCTCCTAGAATTCAAGACACGAAACACTTTGTATTAGTAGGAAGCGAAGATTCGCCAACAGAGTGAGGTACATCTAAGTAACACATTCCGACACAGTGACTCAAGCGTAATGGTATAAGGGTAGTTAACTAAAGGCGTATTTCGATCGATTATATAAAAAACCAAACCCAAAGAGATTGCAATGGCCTGTCAAAGGAACATGTAGGAAGATGCCAATAAGAACCGAAAAACTTTCTGAAGCGAAGCAAAACGCTAGTGATCGATCCGTGATCAGTTCAAGTGTAGTTTGGTATTTGATTGGTCGACTTTTCTACACCAGTCACTGAGAGTTCAGGAATAAAAGCGACGCGATCCCAGAATACTTTCGACGCTCAGTTAAACTTATAAAGCTGTGATGGGTGTTCTGTTTTATGAAAACAAGGACACCAGGGCTAGGATATCATTCGTTTACCTGTGCAGGACACAAGGGTTGTTGGAATCAAACCCAGCATTTAGTCAGGTTGTCCAGACAAGTCACCGAAAAAGAATCCTAACAGAGCATCATAAAGTGGTTCTCACCACTAAGGACTTCCTCATGAATTCAAATAACATTTTTTAGAACTTTTGAAAGGCATTCTTACGCCCCTTCCCGTCCTGTGTCAAATCTTACCTGCCCAGCAACACCTCTCCCTCTAACAGTCTCTAATGTGCCTGCCAGACTAAATATTCTCCAATGTCTCTCACGAAGCTGTACAGTCTCCTGACCAAGATTTTCAATTCTGATACAATAGCGCCACTAAAACGGAGAATATAACGTCAGTATCACAAGTAACTATTCAAAACAAGGAGTAATGAATATCTGCACATTGCATACCCAATAATCTGGTGTCGGAAGAGTGTTCTGAAAACAAGAACATCAACAGATGATTAAAATCGGCAGAGATCTGGTTCTGGATAACATAAAAACAGAGAATAAATCCTGCTGGGCTATTAGCTGTTTCTATCCGCTTCGACATTCTATCCGATCGTAAGGAGATAGACCCTGAATAAGTCTCTCTTATAAAAGTATAAGAGGTTAAGTTTCTAAAGAATCTGTGGTGTTGTGCTGGTGGGGGAGGGGGGGGTATCACAACAGAGCGGCTGACAGCTGCTGACGAAGGGCTAACGCTCTAACTTCAGCTTTACGAAACTCTCTCCGGTGGCCAATTTATAGTATCAACTGGGTTCATAAAACTAAATTGTGTTGTATTATAAGGAGTTTTTTCACAGTCGTGGGTTGGGGTTCTATTCTGCATATATCTGTCAAACCTTGTGCCACACCCTGGTATTCACACTATGCCATGAAGGGTAAACCTGTAAGTGTTTTGCTGACATAAAATACCGATACTCAACATACCTTTATTCCCATGTAAAATGGCATGACAGTAATCCTTACATTGTTTGTTGACTCTCTATGTACATCTGTTAATTCTAACCACTTATGATTTTTCTCCTGCCAGGATTGGAGTGCTTCTCGTGCAGCAAAAGACGGCTCTATCAAGGAAAACAAATTCTTTTATTTTACAGAGTTTACAAAGTTTATAAGTAGCTACTCTTTTTTTAAAACACCTTTAGTTAGGGAGGCACTGAAAGCAATAAAATACACAGGCTGTGGATAGAGGTAGTAGCCCCTATAGTGTATGAGGAAAAGAGAGATTGAATAGATGTTGTTGCAGTAGACCAAAGATGGTTTTGAATGTCACACCCAGGGAATACGTATATGTAAGGATTACATTAACCTCTATCCTTGGACTTTCATCCAAAATATGTAAATGCAGCTACATGTAGGATTTAAACTGAGAGACTATAAACATTGATTGCCTTATAAGGAACACTTGTAAGTGTCTCCTGTGTTGGCGATAAGTGATCATGTATGATGGACAGTTGCATGAGGTAACACGAGAATGCATGCATTCAACTTTTTGCAAGAGTTGAGAGAGCTCCTCTGCAAGCAGAGTTAACATGCAGGTGACCTCTGCATTCTGTGCTTAAAAAACTTGTGCTTTAAAACTGTCTTTGAGTTAGAAATGTAGTTGTATCCATGTAAAACAAAAAAAGAAAAAAACCAGAAAAGAAAAGAAAACATTACATGCACGCTTGTGGACATCAATTTATTTCTCCCTGTTGATGATGTCTCTTACTTGTTTTTTTCACCCACCCCCTTAAATATAAAATTTGTATCCACATGCAACCATGTAATATCCTCTATATTTCAGAGGAGGGAAATTATGAAAATTTCAAAGAAGGAGTACCAGTCAGTGGCTGTAGGATGTGCAAGCACAATCCATGGACGAAGGGTTTTCATTTAAATTACACTGCACCTCTTCCAGGTTCAGGATACAAGAAGCGATCAAAAAGTTCATGGTGGATTGGACGGGAAAATGCATCAGAAACCATATAGGGAAGGATATCTTCCTGGGAAATGTAGTCCAAACCTAAACCAAAATAGATATTAACAACAACATACATTGTGGTTTGAATAGCTTCTCATTCTTTCTTATTATCCAATTGCAAATATCACAGGATATTTATACTCTAGAAATATCTGTGAAATTTGCCTGCACTGAAATAATAATTTGGCGTGTTGGATAATAAATCTCTTATTAGACATTTTGTTGTGTAGCATTGCTGAGTATTTTTACTTGTTGTTTGTATTTTGACTCGCCCTACGGGCTCATCAAAATACAGCACAACTCGTAAAAATGCTCAGCAATACTACACAACAAAACCTCTAATAAGATATATTTATTCCATGGACCCACTGGCCAAATTCAAGAGAAGCTAGCAAGTGAAAACTTGGGCATGGCAAAACTGCAAGCAAGCATGCTCACTCATTTTCTTCCATTCACAATTTAAGAGTTTTTAAGTAAAGCATTTAAAAGCTCACCTAAAAGAGGGCAGTTTTGTGCAATTCACTGTTTTAATGCCAGAAAATAGTGTTGCAAACATATTAACAAGAAAAAATCTCTTGTCATCACCTGGAATTGTATAAAGAGCATTGTCACTCTCATACCCAAGGAATGTCACAATTTCTGGTTGAGCTCTCTGAAATGAGAAAAAAAAGAAAATTAAGTATTCTGAAAGTATTTTCCCACAGCACAACAATAAAATACCTCCTTTAAAACTTATAAAAAATACATGTGGCTGCCTGTGCATTGTACAGAGTAAAGTGAAGCTCAGACAACAAAAACAATGCTGACTAAAAAATTGTTGTTGCATTTTGTCATGTGGCTAAATGTAATTTAGGCAAGGTTAAACTCCAGACAATGCTGGCCAATAGTCTCCCCTCAGGATGCAGGGTGGTCTAACACTTTTATCACAGGTCCATGTAACTCACAGCTCTCCTTCTGAGGTCAGGCCATTTTGCTCAAGTCACAACTCACACGTGATTTTGTGTGAAGCCTTTTGCTCCTAACCCTACCCTCCCTTTGGTAAGTAAAGGCAAGTGCCTTATGTTTTTCAGTGCATTTAATTCAGTGTGATGGTGCCTGGTGGTTGTTATTCACAGGGTTGTCATGATTACCCTCTGTCCTCAGCTTGTCAGTGGCTTTACCTTAAATTCAGGCACCATCCCTACACTCAGCTGTTGTGGATGAGTTTAATTGAAAATATAAAGAATGTATCAAGTAAAATGTAACATCTCTACCATCTCCAAATTTGGGAAAGAATATAAAGGTACACGAAGGATTGTGCAAGCTTTTAAATAATAGGGGGTAATAGCACAATGAAAAGGAACTTAAACATATGGTTGGAAATCACTCCAAAAAATGAAACATGTACAGTATACACTTAATACTCAGAAGTATTGTGAAATACTGATAAGGATGATGATGAAAAGCTTAAGACAAAAGGATGTATTTGAACCTAATTTGTTTAATTTCACAAGGAAAAAAACTTTCTAATAATTTTGAAATGTGAAGTTAATTTAGAATAGATTGGAGATGACAGTATTTTGTACAAAATATTAAGCCAGTAGGCTTATGGTCTGCAAGTCAACTTTACTCAGCAGTTTTGCAGACAGGTGGTTTTGGTTCTCGTAAACTTACCACAAATGGAGAATCTCTGTTATCAATGAGTGCCTGATAGTACGTCTGTGTTTCTGCCTTTATCTCTTTACCGGGATTGTATGATCCATTCTCATCAAAGGATCTGAAAGCCAAATAAAGGTCATTAGCCTTGCAAATGATACTACAAAATGCCATTTCAAATGTCCACCATCATGCCATAAACCATTTGGTTCCAAAATAAAAGGGTGCTCAGATTATTGAAGTAAGAAAGGGAAGTAAATAACCATTTCCAATCCATTGGTGAACAATAAAGTAGAAGTTAATCTTAAGATTCTTTCACAATGTATTGCATAATTATGTGTTTTAACATTCAATATTACAGTCTCCAAATCAAATCATTTGAATACAGATCATTCACCAGACTGAATTTAGCAGAAGGAGGTGAAATGGCTGATAGGAATTTGTTGGTTTTCTTGGAGGGGAAAAAAATTGAGGAAAAAGAGAAAAATCCTTTGAATAAGAAACCTGATGATAATTACATGAAAAGCTACAGTTCCAAACAGGTTTAGTTTCAATGCAACTCTATCAATATTCATTCATTATTAAGTACAATAATCTAATATTTTTTTTGGAAGAAATAAACTCACTTTTCATTCTCCCTTGTTTCTTTATCTCTGTCATAAACTCTTGCTGACCAAGTGAATAGTATCACCCCTCTATAACCAAATAATCTGTGCAGAAAAAGCTTTGAGGAAATAGAAAAAAAAAAAAGCAAAAAAGTCAGGAATTATGTACATAAAGTGTATCTTCCCATTCAAAAGAAGCTTGCATTTGACATAATATTATTTGAACACACAGTGGGAAAACTGGCACTAATAAAGTATTGAGAAACGTAGTGTGTTTTTCCCTAAGCAATGACAAAGAAAAGATCCCAAGTTGCCTAGGAGGAAATGCGTCCCAGATCTTTATATTTCACATGTCATACTCTACTGCTGAGCTACCTGAGAACTTTTTGGTACACTGGATATATAAAACAACATTTAATGTTTGTGAATATATGAAAACCATATAGGTGAACTGCAATTAAAGAAATGAGTTTGAGAGTGATCTTCACAGTAATGAACACTACTCAAGCAGTAGTGGAAATAACGCCTGAAAAAAAATTCAGGCCTGTACAGGATTCAAATCCATGACCTCGGTAATACCAGTGCAGTGCTCTGCCAACTGAGCTAACAAGCTAACTGGGAGCTGGTCATTATATTAGTTTGTAGTCAATGTTTGTAAAGATGTGAAAACCATAATTATATGTGAACTGCAGTAGAGCACTACACCAGTATCACAAAGGTCATGCATTTGAATCCCATACAGGCCTGAATTTTTTTCAAGCTTCATTTTCACTACTGCTAAAGTAGTGTTCATTACTGCAAAGATCGCTCTCAAACTCAAAACAACACTTGTGAGGGACATGCATCCTGCTAGAATCAGCCAACTTGCTTTATTCAATGACTAGGCTCAAGATTTAACATTTTTCCTGTTCTATTCAAAGAAACATCAATCTCAAAATTACTGTAACTCAGTGGTAGAGCATCAGACTATCAAATTGGCGAGGTGTCCCTGAGCTACACCAGGTCATTGGGTATCCTGTAGAGTGATCAATCTCTCGCTCTTAGCATAGTAATCCCAAAATTTAATTCCTTGACTTTGATGTTTTAATAACCAGTTAGCCCAATGGATAGTGCGCTGGACTGTTGTGCAGGAGGTTGAGGGTTCAAGCCCCGGCCGGACCAACACTCAAGGTCTTAAAATAATTGAGAAGAATTTGCTACCTTTCTATAACGTCAAGAAATGGTCAGATATTCTAGTCTTCTTGGATAGGGACAAATAAATGGAGGTCCCATCTCCTGCAGGGTTAGGGTAGGAGACGTTAATTTCCCGCACACGAGATTACTGTATGATGGATGTCCTCCCCTGGGGTGGGTGGTGGGTTTGTATTGTTGTGAAGGCCGTAAGTTAGATAACTCATTGGGTTAATTACGTCACCTTCGTTAAATAAAGAATATTGTATTGTATTGTATTGTATTGTACTACCTAAACGCGACACAAACAGCAAAAATAAAAATTGCCTTCTGCACATCAGAGTCAACCTCAAGTTTCCGTAACTTTTCGGAAACCTTCATTATCACGCGTGCAGGTCATTATCGACATCACAGACGGCACTGTAATATTCGCCGGTAGTTTGGACCTAATCTTTGAAAATATCTTTCCATTTCAAAAAACACGATATGTATGTCCTTCCAATTTACTAGTTCGTTGTTCTCCGAAAAGTGTGTCAAATGACAATTTCAAATCAAGGTCAAGTGTGGGTCGTAACAAATACGAGGGGATCAACAATGAACCGAAAATAAAAGAAATAAAAGACGTATTTCCTGTTATATTACATAACTGTCGATTAGAAACCCATTAAGTTTTCCAAACAGGCCAACATTTCAGATCTAAGGTGAAAAAGTATTGTAAGAGACCTTAGCCAAACAACACCTTAAGCTTACTAACACGTTCCGATTTTCAAGTTGCTTTTCACCAGCGGCCTACCTGTCCTGGTTCATATTTTCCGCTAGTTTTCGGCTCTTGGAAACGTCCGACTTCTGACAGCCTTGAAAATATTTCGTTCAGTCAGCATCAAAAATGGAAAATGGTTAACAAAAAAGAGATCTCTTAACCTTACCGGGCGTAATGCCGTCTTGTTTGAAGTAAGCCACACACAACGTTCCGTAACTTCGCCATCTTTTTCTCATCATACACTCTTCACGAAGATACCGCTGACCTGAAAAAGTTGTGCTCAACTAATACCTTTTCATACAAATTTATTTCCACCTCTTCCAGTCAGGAATAGCTTGTCCAGGTTCAGTGATGAGTAACAGACCTAAGTGGAGTGCCCAGGGGTTGCCTCTTTGTTATATCAGATCGCAAGGTTGTAAGGTTTCTTGGCGGGGGGAAATCAGAAAGCCAATAAAAAAAACCCTAAGAATTAAAAAACAACAACAGAATCGTATGAAAAGATCGCCAAGGCCGGTGACGCGTTTGGAAGGTCTCAGGCAACGTTTGGGGAGTGAGTTGAGCGGGCAGATCCAGGAGGGAGGGGTTGGCTGAGCTCCTTGTCCGAGATATAAGCTTCCGCAGGGCGAACAGCTTAGTCTGTGCAGGCATGAATTTTTTTTCAGTTTACTGTGATTCGTTTGGAATTTATTGCTTGAATAGACCGTAATATCACTACGATTTCAATACCACTTCTTAAAAAGCACATTCCTAAAAGGCTAAGGTACTTTGGCTACTTCACAACTTTTTCAGAGATACGTCATATATTTCAAGTTCCATTACGACGGTCATTTCAAAACAATGTCAGCTTTATTTAGTTTTCGGTTTTGTCTAACTTGGTATTTAAATAAGTTCTCACAATCGTGGCAGGTGGTTGAGCCCGGCAATTGAGGATAAATATTTTTAATTTGTATGAAAACTTTTGCTGATGGAAACAAAAGACAGCTTAATGGAAAACGTTGTTTCAATGTCCGAACAGCTAATGCAAAGAGTTGTTTCAATGTCCGAACAGCTAATGCAAAGAGTTGTTTTGATGGCTCGAAAGTTTTAGGTGGCTTTTTAATTACTGAGTTTCTGTTTCTTATAGATTGGCGCATTAACACTTGCCAATACGTTATCCATCGATCACTGAGGCGATCAGAATGGATAACTTATCCACCTGAGGGTATTATCCCAATGAGAAACAAAACTCTTTCTTCTAACATTCAAGGAAATAATAGGTGTAAGAAAAGAATCACAAATCAAATCTTGGAAATTGAAAGGTTTTAGTTCTTTGTATGTATCCACCACGCACGAAATTAGACTAAAGCTCATCTAAAATAAATAAAATAAAAAAACGAAAAACAAAAAAAAAAAAACAAAAACAAAAGCAAATTGGAATTATACGAGATTTGGACAAACGACTTAATCGATATCGTAAGAAAGCTCATTTCCTCTGCAGCCTTTCAACGACCGAAAAGCATAGAAACCGTAAATAGCCTCTGTAATACTCCATCAAAGAAACACATTGTAAATATTCTTCGCTGTCATGGGCTACCAGCATGATCAGGTGTCTCGGCAGAAGCACATTATCGTCAGTTTCCGTAAATGAAAAACAAAAGAGAAAAGAAAAAAGAAAGGGGAAGTTTTAATTAAAACCCCCATACATGACGTCTGCATTTGTTCCAGCCGGTGTCTTGAAGACCTCGTTTATTGTCGACGTTTTATTCTTTATTCTCATCTTTAAATGGCCACAAACCATTCATAAATTTATCTTATTTTACTTGTGATGATGTACGGTTAAGTTTTTCACTTTTATCATTAATAAGCGGAGGAACATATACAAAGTCTTCTCCCGGAGTCAGTCTTTTATCCTAACCGTTGAACTTCTTAATTTGCATTTTTATTGTTAAGAAGCAAACATCCTGTACCTGCTATGACACAAGCCCTTTAATTACAATGAGGCATGTTTCCTCCATGCCACCAGAATCATTACCATCAGTTCCTAATGTGGATCACCTTACTGATATATTTGCTTTGTTTTATTCCATAAAGAAGATAACCATCAGATATCTTATTTTTTTGACAGATACAGTCGCCTTCGTAGGTTCTCCTTTTTCCTTGAGTTGGTCACATAAGTCAGTAAATGATTACATCTACTTAAACTCTGGAATAGTTGATTGCTCAATTCTAAATTTTGCACAAAGCCGATCAAATAAATGATTTGAAATCGCGGACATGACAGGTGTTCATCAATAGAGCAAAGTATCGCGAGATGTTTTGTAATTAAAAAACTGCTTCTTTCGGCTGTTTTAGTTTCATTCCATGAAAATAGACAATCAGCATTTCACTTACCTAATATTTCCTAATGCTAAGGACCTATGATCCTAAAGATTATTTCCTTGAAGCCAAAATCAGAGATTCCCTCTGAAACAAAACCAAAAAAAGCAGACTTTCTAACGTAACATAAAAAAATGTCTAACTGCAGAGTTGCGGTACGGTGCGTCACAAAATTTGATCCTCTCTTGACATCCACGCCAAATTATGAGATGATTTCGGTCTTTAATCCAGTAAATAGAGCTTTCTGATCGTGTCTTTCACAGCTTGTCTCACCTCTGTGATCTTCCAGCAATAGAGGAATGGATTCAATGATGAATTGAGGAAAACGATTGATGAGGTAAACCTCCAGCCCAGGACTAGAGATGGAGTCAAACCATTGTGCGTCGCTAAAGCTGTTACTATAGAATAAGGTAGATAGCAAGAAAGTAATGTCATAAGAATCCACACGGAACAAGATACTGTCTTTTTGAATCTAACGATGTTCAAACGAGTTTCATTCTCCTCTTCGTTCAGCGACTGGTTGTGCACTACGGTTTGACAACGGCGAAGACTGGCATAGATTTTTACGTAAGTCAATGTGGAAGTTGCCACACAGGTCAAAATCAACATTAAGCCGTACCAAAGAAAAATTAAAAAATTCCACACGCTCAAAGCGGCCATACCCACATTTAAGACCCAAAAACAGATTACAAGTGTAAGAATTTTTCTGAAACTTACAACGAGTCGAAATCGTACGCCTAACTCTAACGCGAGAAATCTTTCCACGCTAATTGCCGTCAAGGTTAGCAAAGAGACCCCAAACAAAACTACACCTATTGGGTAGCTGAGGCCAAGCATGGGACGACACAAAGACTTAGATTCAATGGCAACAGCAGCAAACAGAGTGGCCACCAAAGGCTGTAAAATTAATCCAACGCATAGATCACTTGCAGCTAAGCTACACAGCAAAACCTTTGAAGGAGGGTGAAGAGAAGATGGTTTCTTGAGCGCGATGAGGATAAGAGAATTTCCTGCGGCAGCAATGAAGGAGAGAAGGAAATTCAAAGCTGAAAGGAAGATCACGGCTGGTTTCATGCCTGAAGTTGTCGAGCAAATCAATCCATCAAATTTTTTTTCACCGTGGGTGAAGTTCGACGTATTCTTTCTCAAATTGAACTAACTGAGAAAGTCCGTGATCTTGGTTTTATTCTAGATAAAAATCTAACACTGACATACCACGTTAATGTCACAAGCAGGAAAGCAACTAATGGCATCAGATCCATAGGGCGCATAAGTTAATACCTCACTAATGAAAACCTTAAACTATTAGTGAATGCTCTTGTAATATCACGACTAGACTACTGTAACAGTATCCTCTATGGTTTACCGAAACGGGAACTCGACAAACTCCAGAGAGTTCAAAACACTGCAGCACGTCTTATTATCGGATCTAAACAATATGATCACATCAAACCTGCTCTTCAAAAACTACATTGGCTGTCAGTTGAATCACGTATAATGTTTAAAGTTATTCTTATCACTTTTAAGATTCTTCATGTACTTTCTCCGGTCTATTTGTCGTCCCTGTTACAAGAATATCATCCACAACGTACTCTACGTTCATCTTCCATTTCAACTTTGTTGATATATTCAAATTATATGAGCTAAGAGCTTGTTCACTGCGGCGCTTTTACAAATCCCCTTTAATATATTTGCTAGTACCTTATTGTTCTTAAAACCCCGTTAACGCGTTTTCTGTCCGCCTACACACACATACACACACCCACGCACACCCACACACGCACACACACACGTAGCGTAGCAAGCAGACAAAAGATCGGTAATTCGGTCGAACTGAACCGCCTTTTCTCTTGTCTAATACTGCATATGCGGTGTGATTTTATGTCTAACAACTATCCTTGATTATCCGATCGCTAAAACTCACAAGTTTTCATTTGTAGAAAGATTTTCCCCTATTGCTTAGCACTTCGTGCACTTTTATGATTTCCTTTCATTGAATTGTTATGTTGGTATCTCGAACATATTTAGCTTTCTCTTTCATTGGATTGGTAAATTAGTATCTCGAGCACTTTTTGGATTTTCTTCATTCCATTGTTACGTTAGAATCTCATTCTACACTTTCAGGATTCCCTTTCACTAAGTTATGACATTAATATCTCGCACACGTTCAGGATTCTCTTTCATTGCATTGGTAATTAAGCGACACGAGTACCTCGCACACACCACCAACCCTCTCTGAAAGGCGTCAGGTCATTACGTCAAAGTTCTTCGAACGGATCGCCACCGATAAGAATCATAGACTCCACCCTCTTCTCCCAGAAGAGAAAGCTTTGAACTATAATCTTAGGAGAAGTTCGAAGTTTGTACTACCCAAATGTAAAACGAGGCGTTGTCAATCCACTTTTATTAGCATCTGCAAGGTTCCTAATGTGGATCACCTTA